TCCCCCTCTTAGAATCCTAAGTAATGATATAGATTTAACATTGGCTACCTTTAACACATCTTTCTCTTCACTGATGCTCAATATTCAGAGTTGTTCCCCCTCTAAGAATCCTGAGTAATGATATAGATTTAACATTGGCTACCTTAAAAACATCTTTCTCCTCACTGATGCTTAATATTCAGAGTTATTCCCCATCTAAGAATCCTAAGTAATGATATAGATTTAACATTGGCGACCTTGAAAACATCTTTCTCTTCACTGATGCTCAATATTCAGAGTTGTTCCCCTCTTAGAATCCTGAGTAATGATATAGATTTAACATTGGCTAGCTTAAAACCATTTTTACTTCACTGATGCTTATAATCAGAGTTGTTCCCCATCAAGGACATAGAGTGAACATTGGCTTGCTTAAAAAAATGTATAGAATATTAAATCTTTCTCCTGACTGATTAATTAACTAATGAAAAAAGGTAAGAAAAAACAGCTATAGGGGGAAATATGGATTAAAATATATTAAAACTAGAGAAGTGGATAAAACTGAGTGACTACAAGCCCAGATAAAAAAAGAAAATAGTGGTATAGAAGTTAAGTAGATCTTTACTTGTGGTGATTAATTGATTTAGTTGATAGTAGTCCATAGCAGTTCTTAGGCTGGAAAATAATTGATGATTTATTGCAATGCAAAAATCATGTAAAAAGAAGAAAATATAAATTGGAAAAATTAGTATGGGAGGCTTCATACAAATCATTCAATACATTATAACATTAGTAATGATTCTAAATAAGTGTTAAGTTTAGGGAGTTCAGCCCCTTATGTACAAAGCCTGGAGTTAATGGAAGTCAGCCCCTTAGTTTTAAAGCCTGGAATTTAGGGAGGTGACATCCCCTTATGCTCATAGCCTGGAGTGAAGGGAGGTCAGCCCCTTATGCTCAAAGCCTGGAGTTTAGGTAGGTCAGCCCCTTATGTTCAAAGCCTGGAGTTTATGGAGGTCAGCCTCTTATGTTCAAAGCCTGAAGTTTAGACAGGTCGGCTCCTTATGTTCAAAGCCTGAAGTTAAGGGAGGTCGGCCCCTTATGCTCATAGCCTGAAGTTTTTCTAAACAGAGATCATTATTAACAAAAGGAGAAGATTATAGTAGATATAATAAAATGTTCAATATAACGTGGATTATAATAGATATAATAAAATGTTCAATATGACGTGGATTATAGTAGATATAATAAAATGTTCAATATAACGTGGATTATTATAGATATAACAAAATGTTAAATATTACGTGGATTAAGATTAATGTCAATTACACAATGGGATTAAATGCTATGTTTGGAAATCTTAACCATAATACAATTTTGAAGTCAATGTTTTCACATCAGGCCACCATTCAAGAATTATTTGTTTGATGTTGCCAGTACCCATGCCTCTTAAGGATGTACTTAGGTGAAATTAAAAAATCTAGAATTTAAAATTGATACTATAATTAGTCAGTAGAGCATTAGTAAAGGAACAAAATAAGCTATAAATATTGATAGGTTATGGAGCTCCTTTTTGAGATCTTCAATCTTTAAAAAATGGCAGGAAAAGGCTGACTCTGAATTTTACCTTATATTTGCATTGGTATGATTTGGGTCTCAAATCAAAAGAAAAGAATATTTAGAATCTGCTTAAATTTTGGTAAATGACCTTTTATGATCTATTGAAGTCTTATATGAAAAGAAAAATGGGTGTTAAATTGGGGCAAAATATTTTACCTTAATTGTATCATAGGAAAAAAACAAAGGTGTCCGAACATCTGACAAAAATTCCTAAACCTGACCCAAGTACATCCTTAAGGTTAGTTAGGTAGTTAAAGACTTATTTTATTTTTGCCAACAACATAAGCTACATGTTTTAGACAAGAAAACAACATTAGAACAGGATAAAATCTTTTTCAATAAAAATTTGAAACAACGTCTCTTGAATAAAAAAAGTTAAAAAGACCAGTACAAAGTTGAAGAGCTGATTGAGGACCCAAAATTCTAAAAATTTAACAAGAGTTTATCAGTGATCTGCCATTAGATTTCCACAATGACAATTAACATTAAGCCATTAATTATAAACAAGATGTGATTGAAAAAAATCATTTTAATTGTTACTTTTGTACTTTTATCAGGAAAGTATGTGTATGTCAAAGATATTTTACCATACTATATTTATATCCCCGCATTAATTATACCCCCGCTTTAAAAAAGGGGGGTATACTGTTTTACCTCTGTCTGTCCTTCCGTCAGTCCGTCAGTCCATCCGTCCGTCCCATGAATATTTTTGTCGCATTTTTCTCAGGAACTACTTGACAAGGATTTCTGAAATTTGGTTTCAGGGTTTATATAAGTCAGCTTTACCGTGTGATGCGTTTTCAGATTCATCACTCAACAACTTCCTGTTTACTGAAATATTATGGCAGGGGTATCATCACTGAGCAGTAGCTCACAGTTTTACTTGTTCTTTTATCAGGAAAGTGTGTGTATGTCGAAGATATTTTGCTATCAATTTTTTGTTAGATATGTATGGAGTTCTTGATGATTGTTTTGTTTTTTGTAATTATATTATTTAATTTAGTTGTGTTATATATTACAACTGGATCTGAATTATTGTCATCTCTGTTTGGGCTGCTCACAATGATTTTTGTCAATATATAACAGAACTATAGTCAACTGTCATACTAATGGGATGTTTAGCTAGTGTTTGACCCGTCATTCAATTCTTTGGAAAATGTCTGTACCAATTCAGGAATATGACATTTATTTTCCTATCATTCCATAGGTTAATATAGCGCAGTGTTTGGTTTTGTTGGGTTGTTATAATGGATTTCTCCTTTTGAACTTTAACCTTGGAGTTAAGTATTTTTGTAATTTTATTTTTCACAACAAATTAAAAACATTGTTATAGAACGACATATTAAAGACAGCAATGAAAGTTATACTTTAAGATTAGGAAAGAATATTTGTTGTTGAAGAAGATATTTAAGAATTTCTCATGTTGTTTATGTGGGGTTAAATATTTCTTAGTAGAAAATCATAGATATTGAAAATTATTAATAAAATTCTTATCTGTTCATGAATAAATAGAAGAACAAAATTTGAGTTCACACAATTGATTTGTTTTAATTCAAATCTTCTTAATATTTATTATACCATAAAAAAAGAATGATGTTGAATAAAAAGGATACTATAATGTTTGATGTGATTGAATGATGTTGCTCATTCCACCAGAAGTACAAAAATTAATTCTATATATAGACTGTCAGTAGAAAGATGGAATTAATTAGCAGTTGTCATTCAAAACACTTTATCCTAGAAGCTCAGCATGGATCGATAAAAAAATCACTGGTCATTAGGATAAGTTATATATAGAAAGAATTAAACTGTTGTTTATCATCCCACTGTGGTGGACTGTGAGTGACACAGGTTACAAATGTCTTCCTGATAGCTGGCAGATATATACAATAATGGCATTTTTGTTTTTGATACAGACTTTATCAGCAAGAATATTAAGCGATAATAGTAGACTGACCCATAGGGGCTCACCATGTGAGGGCGTTAAACCAATTATAACGTCACTAATTTACCCGGGTGGAATAATTTCGAGTATCAGGTCCTGTCCATGATATAGAAAAATATTCGGCTGTAAGATCCAAAGGGGAAATTGCTGATAAAGACTGCAGTAACTACTTAGAATTTGTTATTTAATATCATTTGTTTTCAATTGTATTATCCATGTATAGAATCCAATCACCATTGAATGTTTAGCCAATAGTGCTGAAAGTGGTGTTAAACACCAACAACCAATCAATCAATCAATCTACTTGTTTATATAATTATAACTAAGAATCCAAACATCTGTATCCAGACTTTGCTGAGCTTACAAGGACCTGCCATATCTCCAACTCCCCCCCCCCCTGAGCTTACAAGGACCTGCCATATCTCCAACTCCCCCCCCCCCCCCCCCTGAGCTTACAAGGACCTGCCATATCTCCAACTCCCCCCCCCCCTGAGCTTACAAGGACCTGCCATATCTCCAACTCCCCCCCTCCCTGAGCTTACAAGGACCTGCCATATCTCCAACTCCCCCCCCCCCCCTGAGCTTACAAGGACCTGCCATATCTCCAACTCCCCCCCCCTGAGCTTACAAGGACCTGCCATATCTCCAACTCCCCCCCCCCCCTGAGCTTACAAGGACCTGCCATATCTCCAACTCCCCCCCCCCTGAGCTTACAAGGACCTGCCATATCTCCAACTCCCCCCCCCCCCTTTACAAGGACCTGCCATATCTCCAACTCCCCTCCCTCGTGTTTTAAGAGCTTGGAAATACTGAAGTATAAAAAGGTGTAACAAATATCATGTGATCAATGTGTACTGTTTTAGTGTATATCCACTGTTTGGGATACCCACTGTATGAGTAGATGATGAAATGTGGAGCATTGAATAAGGGTCTGTATTCTATAATTTTTTCCACATTTATATATGTTTGCCCATCATACTCTTTTCTTTATGTTTGCCTGTTTTTCTCTATTCTTTATTTTTATTTATCCCACTATTCTGTATTCTGTAAACCATACCAATACCCTCTTACATGACTTGTAGAGGTTATTTGAGTTTTAACTTCTATATATATGTGTTGTTTTAGATTTATATACAAGTTGTTTTAGACCTTTACAAGTGTTGTTTTAGATCTAAACATGTGTTGTTTCAAATCTAAATATGTGTTAGTTAGATCTACACATGTGTTGTTTTAGATCTAAACATGTGTTGTTTTAGATTTACATATGTGCTGTTTTAGATCTATACATGTGTTGTTTTAGATCTATACATGTGTTGTTTTAGATTTACATATGTGTTGTTTTATATCTATACATGAGTTATTTTAGATTTACATATGTGTTGTTTTAGATCTATACATGTGTTGTTTTAGATTTACATATGTGTTGTTTTAGATCTTTACATGTGTTTGTTGTTTATTACAGATACCCCTCCTCCTGGGTACATGAGTGAGGATGGTGACAACACAGACACACAGGGCATGGGTAAGTATACATAAAATGGAGATGTGGGGTATACTTCAGCAACCCAACAACAAATTGTCATCTAAGATAAACGTTCAGAGCATGTCAATCAGCTAGACAGCAACATGTCTGACTGCAAATGATCATACTAGATTTTTTTGCTGTATAAGCAGAATAAGTGTACATATTTTATGACTGTTTCTCCAATACAGTTCAACCTGCACAAATTTGACCTACATCTCAGCCCATTTTACCATGAAATGAAATTTGAAAGCAAAAGCAGATTTTTCTGGTTAAATGAGGTCAAAAAGACAATAAGGAAATACAAGAAATCGTGACTTATCTAGGTTTAAAAATGTTCAGCCTTCTTCCAAGGAATCATCCTTCAGAAGATTATTTCCTAACCTAATTTATTTCTTCAGTCAGAGAAGATTGGTCCCAGAAGTCATTAACCTCTCGGAAGTTATTAGTTGATTTTTACATTGTGATTCCCTTGAAAACATTCAAAAAATGCTTTATTTACTCAGAAGGTTCATTTAATTGGACTTTGAAGTACCATATAATAAAATATTTGGTTTTAATCAATAACAGAAATGATGACTAGGAATTTGTATTACCCATGTATACTTTTTCGTGACTAGACATGGTATTTTTTTGATAAATTTAATAAGATCGTTTAGCACCTTGTCCCAGAAGATTTATTCAAATCTGATTTAGAAATACTTAAATTTTTATATTTGATATTTACTAAAATTATACTCAGGATGGCAATGACTTTGTATAACCCAATATTAATAATAAGGGTTTTGTTAGATTAAATGTACACGGATGTTAGTGACAACACATGGTTTGCCTTGACCTTGAACTTTCAGAGTATTACTTGATAAATTTTTTATATTGGCAATTTCAGTATGGTATTGATTTTAAATATTTAAAAAGACATGTGATAATATACTGTTAAATGCTTTATTTCAATATTTTGACACAACAGTATTAAGTCTGTCAGCCTTATGCTATTTCAGGATAACTTTGGCCAGTTGCTAGGGGTATATAGTCAGTGTTACAGTCTTAAGTCTTTTCTGTTAGTCATTTATTCTGAAATTCAACAGTTTAAGCTTTATTTTTTCCACTATGAAGTGAATTTTGATTGTTAAAATATATAATAATAGTGAGTTACAGATGGAGCTGGCGTTGTATTACCCTTTGTATGACCTAGCTACTTTTCATGAAATAATTGTCTTAAAAAAATTTCATGAAAATTGTGCTTGTCTGTTTATTTTTATGCCCCATCTAGGGGCATTATGTTTTTTGGTCTGTGCGTCTGTTTGTCCATCTGTCCCACTCCAGTTTAAAGTTTTTGGTCGCTTCAGGTTAAAGTTTTTGGTCAAGGTAGTTTTTGATGAAGTTGAAGTCCAATCAACTTGAAACTTTGTACACATGTTCCCTATGATATGATCTTTCTAATTTTAATGCCAAATTAGAGTTTTGACCTCAATTTCACATTCCACTGAACATGTAAAATGATAGTGCGAGTGGGGCATCTGTGTACTATGGACACATTCTTGTTTCTTCATACCTGTAGATATTGAGATGATTTGGTTGATTTATAATCTGATGCAGTGCTATTGGATCAAGTTTGTGGTTTGTTTTAGATCTACTGGGTAGTCACTTCCTGTTTGGCGATACTCTATTGTAAAACTTTTGTTGAATATACACACTGAACATGGAATTTGTTACATATTACTCAGCTTATAAATCTATTAAGGAAAGAAATTTTTTGAATGTTGAGTAGTAAACCAGCATCAGATCTGCCAGGAAGTCAACCTCTGCTTAATAAGACTTTGAACCTTTGTTATACAGACTCATCAGAGCATTTTTAGACTAAGAGATTTTTTTCCTTCTTACTTAATTTTCAGTTTCTGTACAAGTCCTGATTTAATATTTGATCAAGAACTTTATAATTTGAGTTGTACAAATGCACCATGCAAAAATAAAAAGATGTGGTATGATTGCCTATGTCACAACCATCTATCAGATATTATATGATGTAGAAGTTAGCAACATAGTATGGCCTTCAACAATGAGAAAAACCACATTGCAGGCTTTAAACGTCCCTGACATGGTCAAGTGTAAAACAATTCAAACAAAAAAGCTAAAGGCCGGATTAATGTACAAAACAATATATGAAAAACAAATATGATATACAGCAATAAATGACAACCACTGAATGCAGGCTATTCTACTCGACAGTTTCTAACAGTTTGATGATAGTTTGAATTTTTATTATACCTTGTGAGGATGTATGTTTTTTGTGCAATGTCTGATTATGAATAGAAATATTTTTTTGCATGAAATTGTATGCAACTCCTTGTTTAATTGTAAAAGTGTTTTTGTTTTTGTTTTTATAGATGGCGTGGATGTTTCTCCAAGTTCTCCTCTTGGTAAGTTTATCATTTAAAGAAACACAACACATCTCTATACATAAAGAGAGGGTGTGTGGTTGTTAAACCAGGCTTATATAGGAAGGGAGGGTGGGTGGTTGTTAAACCAGTTCAATACATAAAGGGAGGGTGGGTGGTTGTCAAACCAGGCTTATATAGGAAGGGAGGGTGGGTGGTTGTTAAACCAGGTCTATATAGGAAGGGAGGATTGGTGGTTGTATAACCAGGTCTAAATAGGAAGGGAGGGTGGGTGGTTGTTAAACCAGATCTATATAGGAAGGGAGGGTGGGTGGTTGTTAAACCAGGTCTATACATAAAGGGAGGATGGGTGGTTGTTAAACCAGGTCTATATAGGAAGGGAGGGTGGGTGGTTGTTTAACCAGGTCTATACATAAAGGGAGGATGGGTGGTTGTTAAACCAATTCTATATAGGAAGGGACAGTGGGCAGTTGTTTAACCATGTCTATATAGAAAGGGAGGATGGGTGGTTGTTTAACCAGTCCTATACATAAAGGGAGAGTGGGTGGTTGTTAAACCAGGTCTATATAGGAAGGGAGGGTGTGTGGCTGTTAAACCAGGCTTATATTGCAAGGGAGGGTGGGTGGTGGTATAACCAGGTCTATATAGGAAGGGATGGTGGATGGTTGTTTAAACCAGGTCTATATACATAAAGGGAGGGTGGGTGGTTGTTAAACCAGGTCTATATAGGAAGGGACAGTGGGTGGTTATTAAACCAGGCTTATATTGCAAGGGAGGGTGGGTGGTTGTTAAACCAGGTCTTTATAGGAATGGACAGTGGGCGGTTGTTAAACCAGGCTTATATATAGGAAGGGACAGTGGGCGGTTGTTAAACAAGGCTTATATATAGGAAGGGACAGTGGGCGGTTGTTAAACCAGGCTTATATATAGGAAGAGACATTGGGCGGGATGGGAAAAAAAGTAATTGAAAAAAGGTTCAACGTTGTAATTACTATTTAGGTAACAGATTCACAGGTAAATATACAAATATTAATGTATCCATGATTGTTCTCCAGTGAATTTTTTACTAGCATTTGGTTGATAGTTCCTCTGTCATGGGAATAGGTGTATATGTTATAGATAATTAATGTATATTTTAAGGTTTTTCTTGTTGTATAACACACCGAGGGGTGTCAGGATTGATCAAATGAAAGACCGATTGTAGGGAGGTCTTTTTTGGGGCAATCCTGACACCACAAGGTGTGTTATACGACAAGAAAAACCATGAAATATACATTATCTGACTTATATACAGTCAAAAAATATCATTTTCTGCAAATATTTTAAGAATTGTATCCTATTTTACTGATCACATTGAAATGGGATATTCTTTTCTTAAGCGTTTAGGTATGTACACGCCTAATAGGCTAAAAATAAATGTGAAATAAAACTCACTAATTAATCTAGGTATAAACGTTAGAAATCACTGTCCAGTTACAATATAAATGTTACAGTTATTGCATGAAGTAAGAAGCAAATGAATTGTATGATGATGAAAAATACAAGTCACTTTGTAAGTAATTTATCATATAAGCTATATATAAGGGGTGCTATATTTTGTTCTCACGTTTCACGATATTTTTATCAAGGAAAAACAGATTATTTTTTCAATAATTTTTAACAAACTTTTCAGATTAATTTTTTCTCTCTTATGCCTGGCAATACAATTTTTTTTTTAAATTGAGAATCAGTATCAAATATTACACTCCCTTTTTTTAAAGAACGTGGCTGTTCCCTTTCTTAAATAGGAATATTTTGTTCTTTAATAGAGTAAATGGTATTTATTTCAGCCTAATAAACGGAGGAAAGGATTGTTTCGGCCTAAACTTTTAAGAAATGTTCAAGATAGAAAATTTTACAGTAAAACCCCATTTGGCAACAACACACAAATTATATGTTTAAGTACTCTGTAGTTTAATCATTTTAATCATGGTAAATAACCTGACGCAGGTCATTGTTTTATGCCTTGAAGCCCATTTCATTGAAACTTGGTATCATCCAGGTTGTTTCTTGAAAAGAATGACCTGTTGTTCTGAAAGGAAAAAGCTCCATATAGGTATATTAATTTATATAAGGAATAAATGCTTCTGACTTAATCTAGAGCACAAAGGGATGATTGTCATGTATATGCATGAAATATTTGCCTATAGACATTAAGCAAGTAGCAATCAGTGATATCAGTAACAATGGAGTGATGGGAAGGGGCTAGTATATAAGAAGATAGATATACACAAGTCTAAATTGAAAACAACGTTCAAACCTATGATTGCGTCGGATAAAAACCGCAATTTTTATACGTGTGCATGCAAAACAAATTTCTTGTTAGAGGGGTCTAAATACAGCACAAACAACATTTTCCAAAAGATCAAAAAAGTGAAAAAGTATATTTTAACAAAACGCATTTGACTAACAGGTCGAACAACAAATGTTCTTAAACCCTGCTGACTGCCATTGGCGATTGCCAAATAAACGGATCACCTGGTGTGATAAATGGATCTTAATTATAAACAGATAGATATATATATATAAGGAATGTATTGCCTGTTAATATTCCAGTGGCAGTTTCTGTCACTTATATGATACTATTGTTATTTTTAGATGCAGAACCAGTCACTTACAAGGAGCCAGCATTTTGGTGCTCCATTGCATATTATGAACTAAATAATCGTGTTGGGGAGACATTTCATGCTTCAATGCCCTCGTTGACAGTAGATGGGTTCACTGATCCATCAAACTCTGAGAGATTCTGTCTCGGTCTGTTGTCTAATATCAACAGAACACAACAAGTGGAAATGACAAGGAGACATATTGGTATCTATATTATACAGTTAAACCTTGTCTATCAAATCTTTTATACAGTAAAACCCTGTCTATCACAACTACATTATACAGTTAAAACTTGACTAACCTCAAATTTACATCAAATATACAGTTAAACCCTGCCTAAACTCAAACTTACATCAAGTTGATTATACAGTGAAACCTTGCCTAATCCTCAAACTTATATCAAGTTGATTATACAGAAAAACCTTGCCTAACCTCAAACTAACATCAAGTTGATTATACAGTAAAACCTTGCCTAATCCTCAAACTTATATCAAGTTGATTATACAGAAAAACCTTGCCTAACCTCAAACTTACATCAAGTTGATTATACAGTAAAACCTTGACTAACCTCAAACTTACATCAAGTTGATTATACAGTAAAACTTTGCCTAACCTCAAACTTACATCTAGTTGATTATACAAGTATACCTTTCTTTCCAATTATTATACAGTAAAACCCTGTCTTTCCAATGCTTGTACATTTAAACTTTTCTTTCCAACAATTCTGCAGTTAAGCCCTATCTTTACAATGAATATACATTAAAACCCTGTCTTAACAATGAATATACAGTTAAACCCTGTCTTTACAATGATTTTAAGTTAAACCCTGCCTTTACAATGAATATGCAATTAAACCCTGTCTTTACAATGAATATACAGTTAAACCCTGTCTTTACAATGATTTTTAGTTAAACACTGTCTTTACAATGAATATACAATTAAACCCTGTCTTTACAGTGAATATACAATTAAACCCTGTCTTTACAATAAATATGCAGTTAAACCTTGTCTGTACAATGATTATACAATTAAACCCAATCTTGACATGATTATAAGTTAAACCCTTCCCAACCTCAATGACAGGGAGACATATTGTTATCTATATTATACAGTTAAACCTTGATAACAATGAGTATACATTTAAACCTTTCTTTCCAACAATTATGCAGTTATACCCTGTCTTTACAATGATTATACAGTTAAACCTTGTCTGTTCAATGATTATACAATGAGACCCTGTCTTGACAATGATTATAAGTTAAACCCTTCCAAACCTTAAATTTACTTCAATTATTTAGTTAAACCCTTCCTAACCTCAAATTTACATCAATTATACAGTTAAACCATGTGTTACCCCTCAAATGTAAATTAATTATACAGTTAAACCCTTCCTAACCTCTACTTGACCTCAGTTATACATTTGATCCCAGCCTTACCTCAAATTTACCTCAATTATACAGTTTAAACTCTGTCTATCCTCAATTTTACAGTTTAAACTCTGTCTAACCTCAAATATACAGTTTAAACCCTGTCTAATCACAATTTTACATCGATAATACAGTTAAACCCTGTCAAACCTCAAATTTTCAGTGATTTTAAGTCAAATTCGGTCTTCCTTGAAATTTTAAGTAAACTGATATTAAATATTGATATTCTGTCTAAATTGCAACTGTTAGTTAACTGATTATTTACTCACTGTCTCAACTAACAGCAAAAAGTGTTTTAACGTTACGTGTTTGTGTATTTCTAGGTAAAGGCGTGAGACTATATTACATAGGAGGAGAGGTATTTGCTGAATGTCTGAGTGAAAGTGCTGTATTTGTACAAAGTCCTAATTGTAACCAAAGATATGGTTGGCATCCTGCTACAGTATGTAAAATACCACCAGGTGAGTTGTCTTCCCCTTACAGTTTGTTTGTAAGTTTTCCCCCTTACAGTTTCTTTGTAAGTAAGTCCCCCCCCTTTACAGTTTCTTTGTAAGTCCCCCCCCCCCCCCCCCTTTACAGTTTCTTTGTAAGTCTCCCCCTTTACAGTTTCTTTGTCAGTTATCTACCGTCACAGTATCCATATGAGTACAGGTAAAAAGATAAATTATATTCAGGTTGAAAATATCAACAATTTACATAGAATAATTTTAACAAACATTTTAACAACAAAAACATTGTATTTTTATTTTATTTTATTTTAATAGTTCACTTCCATATATACTTACTTTTACTTTCTCTTTCAATTGCTATTTATAACGTTACTCACCATAGCAACATTGTGACGTTTTAATTTTCTCAACCCGATTTTGTACCTCAGCATGATTTTATGTATTGTTTTCTATCCTGATGATGGTGGCCTAGCCACTGAAACATGTCGATCTCAATAAATTACTGGAGCATTCCTTAAAGTGTTGTTGCTACTGGACCTTCTACATTTTATGTTTTTATCGTAACGACCCTTCATACCCGAGGTATCCACTTTATGGAATCTACTGACAGAAGATTTACCAGGCGTTGATTCACTTGTGTTTAAATTTACATAGATGATTAAACATTCATTACTCAATTAAAAGTAGAACATAACCTTTGATCAATAGTTGAAGCTTTAATAGCCTCAAACAATGCTGATTATTTTTATGGCCCCACCACAAAGTGTTCGGGCCATATAGTGTTACCCTTATCCATCATTCCGTCATTCCTAAACGAACAGTTTTACAGACTTTTTTTCTAAACGCCTCTGAATATTTCGTGAAAATAACAGTTATACAGACATTCATTCTCAAATTTCCACTCCTAAAAATTGTTTCAACCTTTTTTTTGCGAGCATGCCATTTGTATCTTTCCGACTCATCTAGTTTAAACCTATGCTAACCCATGAAAGCTATAAATAGCATGTACAGGGGTTCTTTATAAAATAATTCAAGTAAGTTTAGTAGAAGGGAGGTAACCCTTAATATTTCAAGTTTTGCAAATTTTAAATATTATCTCTGACTTTTGTTTCTTTTTTTCAGGATGTAATTTAAAGATCTTTAACAACCAAGAATTTGCTGCATTGCTTGCCCAGTCTGTCAATCAAGGATTTGAATCTGTTTATCAACTAACTCGCATGTGTACTATTCGTATGAGTTTTGTCAAAGGATGGGGAGCTGAGTACAGGTAATGACTATGTAATGTTAGATGATTGATTGGTGTTTAAGGCCACTTTTAGCACTGTTTGCTATTTCGTGGTGGCCAGTTTTGGAGGAAGCTGGAGTGCCCAGAGGGAACCTTCGACCTTTAGTAGGAAAACTGAAAATCTTAAGTCAATTAAGATAGGATTCCAGCCCACCTGCCACATGTGGGGCTTGAACTGACAACGTCAGTGTTAAGCTAGTGATACAGTAGTTAAAGTACTTAGACCACTTGGCCACCAAGGCCCCTCAATATGTAATGTTAGTTTGATTGCCCTTAAGTATCCACCAGAGATCGAGTGGTGTGTGTGAGGGGCCTCGGTGGCCGAGTGGTCTAAGTAGTCCAACTACTGTATCGATAGCCAGTCAACACTGAGGTTGTGAGTTCAAATCCCGCACAGGGCAGGTGCACTCAACTCCAATCTTAATTGACTAGGATTGTCAGTTTTCCTACTGAAGGTCGTCGTTCTCTCCAGGCACTCCGGCTTACTCCACCAATAAAAATTGACCGCCTCGAAGTAGCACAATAGTGTTGAAAGTGGTGTTAAAAAAACACCAATCCATCAATCAATCAATCGAGTGGTGTGTATGTAAGTAACTAGTTACATACATTGGGATCATAGAAGGTTTCCATTCATTTGGAGCACACACACCCAAAAAGTTTTAGCTGTGCTTTTTATATTTATGTGAAGTAGACCTCCATTGTAGAATTTAAACCTGAATGTCAGTCATAGAAATTTATTTTACTGAGAGTTGCTGGATTATATCCACTGTCCTCGATGTCATAAAATCCATTCATGACCGTCAGAAAACCTTAAAGCAAAGGAATAGCTCTTATATGCAGTTCTTCATCTTAACATTGACAGTGCAGCCTTCAACACAGAGCAAAGTTTACACTTCACATAGACCACTTTATTTTGATTCAGCATGGTATAAAACATACTAACATAAGCTCTTTTTTTACCAAATATAAAAACATATACAAAACAAAAATAAAATCTTCATGCACATATGAAACATACAACTAAATATTAAAAGCCATGCAACTACCAAAAAAATACAGATTTCAAGCAATTTTATATGAATATTAAAAAAAATATTTAAAAACTTAGTTAGAACTGTCTGACAATAACAATCAGTAGATTTTCACTGCAAGTTCAACTGCATCTTTTATAGCGGATTTATATATACCGGTAAAATATTTAATGGTGGTTTAATTTTGCAGACGACAAACTGTAACCAGTACACCATGTTGGATTGAGATCCATCTGAATGGACCACTGCAATGGCTTGATAGAGTATTATGTCAGATGGGGTCACCAGGACTTCCATGTTCTAGTATGTCATAGGTCAGAAAGTCAAAAGGTCAAAATAGTCATCAAATGAACTGAAAAGTGGCATTGTTATGTTGAATTGTTATTGACAAAGTCATGAAATAAAGGTTGTAATTGAACTCTTTTGTAATGGAGATAGAAAAGTTGTTAACTGCTCTCTATAGATGGAGGTAGAAAAGTTAGATTAGTCATGTGCTTTGTATGTGTTTACCCCTGTATTTTATTGTATATCACATTGCTGATCATTGATTTTATATACACATTATACATAATTATGATTTTTCATTGTTAAGAGAGAAAGCTTGGAACCCTGGCTTAATTTATTTTTCGTACATATTTCCTAATCACATTGGATAGAATGGTTGTTGACAAAACTGAATCAATTTGTTGGCTTGAATTTAACTATGCACTTAAATTGCCACTCTATGAAAATTGACCAACTGACAATCTAAACATAGCTTAATTTAACATAAATATGGATTAAAAATAAAACAGGAGTTCAACAATGCTATTATGGTAATTAAACTTATGGAAATGAATGGATAAGGAGAAATTTAGATAAATAAATTAACCAACTAGCACAATGATCCACTATACCTACCACTTTGTAAGTGGGTGGTTTGTAGAAGAGCCAGTGTCCATAATTCACTTGACTGATTACTGTACCACCACTTCAGTAAGTGGGAGGTTATAAGAAGAGCAAGGGTTTCATGGTTTTACTTAGCTGATTATTATGTTCATAGATTGCATGTTTTTAAATTGTGTAAATTAAGATATTTTAAAACAGAAATTTATTGTCAATTTTTATAATGTTTTTAATTTCATTTTCAATCTGTGATCAGTGAACAGTATACTGATAAGATACAAATGTAGTCGTTACTGTTTATTTTTTAGAAAGTACTATTTTTTTTTCACCTGTAAATTTTGATTCCTTTTAAAGTGAAATAAAACGTATGGTGATATATTCTTTCAATGTTGAACTGTCAATGAATTTTAAAGTTAAATTGATGTTATGTATTGACCACCAAGAAATTTACTTCTCAGGCAAGTCTGCTTCTCTTAAAAGGGATTTGTTTCTTCATTGTATGTGCAGTTTTAGATAATGCTTACAAGAATAGAATATTGATATGTATTATACTTCATGTCAAAATGCCAGATTTTGATTGGCCAATACGAGGGAGACAATTTACAGGGTCAAAAGTTAAAAGAAAAAAAAGGCTTTAAAAGAAGTATGAATTAACAAGGAGCTCCAGTACCAAATTTTATAATCTGATTTATCTCTCTTGTGTAAAACCTTATGATTGGATAAGACACCAATAGCTCTGTTGCTAACAAAACTTCCAACAATGCAATGTTATCAAGAAATACAGAAATTATTACATGCATTTTTTACATGACAGACCAAATGTGAAAATAATTATTGTGATTGCAGGAAAAGCTGCAAACAAATATATGTAACAGAAATTGGGATAGGAGTTCCCACTATTGAGATACTCACCCAGTCACATGGGAGTTCCCACTATTGTGATACTCACCCAGTCACATGGGAGTTCCCACTATTGTGATACTCACCCAGTCACATTATTCACAATAATAAAATTCTGGCAGTTATTTCTGAATTTACAGTAGATATTAATCACAACTCAGGAAACTATATGTTTCTTGTGCCAAAAAATATAAAATTATTAAACAGACATGTAGTTAAAACTATTTTAACTCACTGGTTAAGGGGTGTATGAAAGCACCTAATAATGGGAGAATTTGACTCAACTGGCTGAGGGTTTTATGAAGGCACCCAGTAATGGAAGAATTTGACATGCTTTTTATTTTACAACAAAACTACTCATGTGTAAATTACTATTTTTTTTAAAGGTCAGTTGATTTTTAAAGAGCTTTCTAAACAACATTGTTTGGTGTTAAATTCAATATTGCTCTGGTGAAAAACATCAATTGTGGTCATTTTGTTTTTGAGACACCCAAAGTCTGGCTTTGTCTTGAGCATACATGATATATTTGCCACTGGACGTTAAGCAACCAACAATCAATCAATCAAATTCTGGCTGATATATTATGTTTCCAACTTCTGAATGTTTTTTTGATAGCTCTTATAAAATTACAGATATATCTGAATACTTGGAAGAGAATTGGTTTACACATGAGTGGTTTCTGGTGTAAGACATTTATTTAATAGAATGTTGTGTGATGCTGTAAATATTATAATGCCAAAACTAAGGGGGGTAACTCTGATGTGTAAAGTGCCTCAGGATGTTATAATGATACCGGTGACCAATAGAGTTACTTCCCCTTCTATAGTAGCTTGTACATTGCTTCTGTATATTACAAATATTTCTTTCAAAAATCAGGTAAATTATTTTTAGTTGAAAGCTTTTTCAAAATAGTGGCTTATTGTTGATTTTGCTAAAAGACCATCAAATGTATGGTAGAACTATTTTTGACTTGTAACTTAGATCACATTGAAAGATAGTTAACAGGAATACCCAAAGACTTTTTCATGTAGTTTTTTTTAATCACATTGACAGAATACTAAATGTTATAAGGTAAAGGTTTTTTGGAATGAAACATATAATAGCAACATTAGTGGGGATGTTCTCTGCATCTATTAAAATAACCCTTTTCAGATACAATGTAGAGTCGAGACCTAAAGTTTGAGGAGTGATATGTATAACTAGTAGCTTTCTCAACCTGTTTCACACATTACAATGGTGCTTTATAATTATGTAGACTCATTGATTTTAAATCCTATGTTACTTATATCACAATGGCCAAACAGTATTTCTTCTGTTTGTGTCAAAGTTCACATGTTATTTTTAATTAATTAACAATGTTACCTTTGTTTTTGCATAACAGAAAATTAAAGACAATTGTTCCATAAAATAGAGGAAACAATTTTGGTTCATTTCATGTAAAGAAGGGCAAAGAAGAGTACATTTGAAATTTGCCTTTGAAATAATTTTATCACTTCCATACCAAATTGGGAGGGAAAAATAACCATGAATATCAACTTTGGTTACCTCCCTTGTCCCTTATCAACCCGGGGAACCATTCATTGACAATGGTAAGCTATTGGAAAGAGCAAATTTACCTGTGCGTAAAATTATAATTACAAAAATATAGGAAGTAGAAAATATAAAGCTGGTAATTGTGACCTACATTTTATGCATCAAAGATTTATGTGTATTGTTGTTTGTTGATTATACAAATATAACAAATCATGTTTCAACTGTTAAAATTGTCCATAAAAGGTAATTTTACAAATAGAAATTTATTTCTGGTTCAGTTAAACAACAATAGGTTGACCTGTAACTAGAGGTCACACAGTAAATACACTATTATTAAATATTTGTTTTATTCTCCACAATTAGTGTGTTATATGTAATGTCTCTATGTCATGAAAATCATATAACCTTAATCTGGTTCCCAATCAGTTACATTACAAAGAATTAGAATCAGTTTGCTCTTTTATGATGTGCTGTGCTTGGTACCTGGTTTTGTGCTTTAATGCATATTTTAATTTGGCACCTTGGTAACAAATTTATTTTAATCAAAAAGTAAGCCCATAGTAAGAGGAGATTTAATAATTAGATTTGGAAATTATGCAGTTTTGTAGATCAGCTGCTCTGAACATATTTATTTGAAGAATCATTAATATTTGGTTTATTAAATATTTGTATATTTAGTCGGGTAGGAGGGGGTCTCATCCCAACTTCCTGAGAAAATGAATGCCAAATCCCTAAATTCCTATGAAAATAATGTGTAAGTTCGGGCATCTAATATAATTAATTCCAAAATAACTGACAATTTAACTGGCCATGAATTAAACTACTCCATCCTGAATTCCATAAGAAGGTCCTTCCGCCATTCTATATTCTAAGACCATTTGGTATAATTTTAAATTCCAGGCTAAAAGTGGATCCTCTTCAAAAGTCTAGGTATAACAAACAAGTCAACCATGTCTGCCATTCAGATATGACAAGAGAGAACAGATACTCATAAATGTTACATGTAAATCGACATATTTCATTGACATTATGGCGTTTCCAAAAGTAAACTGTAATATTATAACAACACTTTAGATATGTACTGTTTCATGAAATGACAAACGAAAGATGACATTTTTATTTTTTATTTCTCGTCTTACAATTTAAGAAGCAAACAGTGATAATGAATACATAATTATAAATTCTTAATTTAAAAAAAAACATTAGCTTTGTTAAGCTACTGCACTTTCTCCTTGGTTTTTCATATGTAAATCAGTATTGAAAATTAGAATATGATCAATTTAATGTAGAAAAATAATGGTGAATTATTCTGTTACCATGGAGTTGACCTTCATATATTGTGATGACCTTTATTACTGTTACTTTAGTCACATGTGCTATCTTTGTACATTGTTTACAGTTTTATGGCAAATAAATGTACCTGTGCTATATTGTTGTGTTTTAACATATTAAGTAAAAGTTACATTTTGTAGTTGTCTCTTGAGGGTCGGCTTCATTGGAACAGGTTACGATCAGCTGCTGTAACAGCTTGGGAATTTAATTGTCATTAAAAATAGGAAGAAGTGTTCAGTCCTCAATTTATTTCTTCAAGTTCAAATAAAGTGACATTCATTTCATATCAAAACTATACCTTATCCTGACTTGGACTGAAAAATTCATCATACCCTCAATTGCATATTAGAGTGCACTGGCTTCCATTAGTTTGGTAGTACTAAAACAGGTACCTCTGATCTGAGTAACAGGGCAAACATGCCCAATTTTAATTTCATATTTATAACCCCACCGTAGCGGAGGGGGCATTAAGTTTTACCCTTGTCCGTAGGTACATACCTACGTCCCGAAATTAGTTTTCATTCTCTAACTTAAGTTTGCCTCAACCAAATGTTATGAAGCTTATACAAAATGCATATTACCACAAAACACATAAAATTTGAATTTTGGTGGCATCACTTTTACCGTTCTAGAGTTATGCCCCTTTACAAATGGAAAAAATGCTGAACTTTTCATTTCCGTTCTCTAACTTCAGTTTGGCTCAACCAAATGTTATGAAACTTACAAACTATGCTTATTACCACAAAACTCAGATCAAGTTTGAATTTTGGTGGCATCACTTTTACCGTTCTAGAGTTATACCCCTTTACAAATGGAAAAATTGCTGAATTATTTATTTCCATTCTCTAACTTAAGTTTGCCTCAACCAAATGTTAAGAAACTTGCACACTATGCTTATTACCACAAAACACAGATAAAGTTTGAATTTTGGTGGCATCACTTTTACCGTTCTAGAGTTATACCCCTTTACAAATGGAAAATTTGCTGAATTATTCATTTGCATTCTCTAACTTAAGTTTGCCTCAACCAAATGTTATGACTCTTATACACAATGCTTATTACCACAGTTTGAATTTTGGTGGCATCATTTTTATCATTCTTGAGTTATGTCCCTTTATAATGTTATATGCAATTGGGGGCATCATCTGTGTCCCATGGACGCATTCCCCATATATTTTTTTATCATTCAAGAGAAAATTTTCTACAGTAATCCTAAGTCCTTGAGCTTTCATTTGATATCAAAATGACCCAAATATTTTGCTTATTGAAAAAGTTACAGTATAGAACTATTTTGTTAAAAATATAAAGTACTTTCTTGTATGTTCTTTGTTACCCTGAGTGTATATGTTATAGTGCAGTTAGAAGACCATTCTTTAGATCCTACCCTGAGTGTATATACTATAGTGCAGTTAGAAGACCATTCTTCAGAACCTACCCTGAGTGTATATACTATAGTGCAGTTAGAAGACCATTCTTTAGATCCTACCCTGAGTGTATATACTATAGTGCAGTTAGAAGACCATTCTTCAGATCCTACCCTGAGTGTATATACTATAGTGCAGTTAGAAGACCATTCTTCAGATCCTACCCTGAGTGTATATACTATAGTGCAGTTAGAAGACCATTCTTTAGATCCTACCCTGAGTGTATATACTATAGTGCAGTTAGAAGACCATTCTTCAGATCCTACCCTGAGTGTATATACTATAGTGCAGTGAGAAGACCATTCTATAGATCCTACCATGAGTGTATATACTATAGTGCAGTTAGAAGACCATTCTTTAGATCCTACCCTGAGTGTATATGGGTCATTATAAAAAAACATGCAAATTTCGATGAAGTAATATTTGGAAAAACGATGTCATTGTTTAAAACATTTAAATGTGTCTCTCTATTCTATAGTATGGTAGCAACTATTTTCAGAAATATGCAATGGGAAAAATGAAGGGTTCCTTCAATTTCAACAATTTTAGGTCATCCTTTGATAGAATCGTGTCAATGGTGTTACCAATTTAAAACATGCATTTAGGTACTAAATATTATTGTTAAACATCAAACAACTGTTCCAATTTGTTGTTAAGGTTTAAATTACTACTTATTGACATTATTCCTCTAGCTATACATTCTTTTTAAACATAAATTTCAGAATACATTGTCGTAAAAAAGTTGGCTGTCCTAATTATGGCTGTTGTAAATACTAAAAAATACACTTAAATTGAATATATGTATAATGTATAAGATGAAATGATAAGAATATGCTTAATCCTTCGTATACAACCTAAAAACGCTTTCATTTATGAATAAAAATTAAAAAGTATCGCAATTTTATATAGTAACACCACTGACTCTTCAGTAACTCCAATGACACAAAAGTATCGCCATTGACAACACATTTCAAATTTTACTTTTATTAAGTACTGAACACAAAACAGAGAACACTGAGCAAAAGAAAAAGAAGAAAAAATAATTCTTAGGCTTAAAAATCTCAAATTATATAACATAATATCAGTAACTAAAAATGTCAGTAGTGTTACTAAATAGTGTCATTGGTGTTACCAGCATACACCATTTTTTGAAAACTTTGTATATGTAATACATGATATTGTTAAAACATTGTTAAATAAGTATTGTTTGTTATAAATAATATGATGTTTCGCCTGTTAAACATGAAAGAAACACCAAAAAATGCTGATAGTCATAATATATTCAGTGGTGTTACTAAGCTGGTCAATGGTGTTATTTTATTAAAATGGTCTCACCATTGACAGTAATACCATTGATTTTCAGGTGTATTTTAAGGTTTAGTTACAAAATAAGGGCTCCATTCCCCTATTTTATATGGTGTTCCTGGTGCATGTTTCTACAATCAATATATTTCATAATTCAAAGTTTAGGAATTTAAAAAAAAACAGATTTTTATAAGGGTACACCATGGACACTATTTTCAATTACGATATAGCTTGTACTTACTTTTAATATTTTTTTACTAAATTTTCAACATAAAAGTTTGTTTTCTTTTGCATAACATGCTTACAGGTAACATTGCTAAGGGAGAAACTATTGTAAATGCTGAAATATTGAGAAAGATAACTCTTACCCTACCAATTTGTCTTTTGGTTACACCATTGACTTAAAAAATGAGACTTTTCCTTTTGGTTAAATTTTTTATTATAAAACCAACATACACCTTCCAAATCATTAAAAAAATGTTTGTATGTATCAAATGCAATAAAAAGTGATAATTTCTAATAACAAATGATATGAATAATAGCCCTATTTCAGGTCTGAAGGGATTTATAGTGAAAAATAACAGTTGATTCTGGCTATATCCAAGGGTTTGAGAAAAAATTAAGAATGTTTTTATAACATTTCATACTGTAAACTGTGTATAGTATATCACAAAACATTCATATCTTTCATATGCAATAGTTATTTTGATACATTTTGATATAGTTTCATGTCTTTTGACTTGAAAAGACCAAATAACATCTATTAGTTTTGCATGTTTTTTTGATAATGACCCATATACTATAGTGCAGTTAGAAGACCATTCTTTAGATCCTACCCTGAGTGTATATACTATAGTGCAGTTAGAAGACCATTCTTTAGATCCTACCCTGAGTGTATATACTATAGTGCAGTTAGAAGACCATTCTTTAGATCCTACCCTGAGTGTATATACTATAGTGCAGTTAGAAGACCATTCTTTAGATCCTACCCTGAGTGTATATACTATAGTGCAATTAGAAGACAATTCTTTAGATCCTACCCTGAGTGTATATACTATAATGCAGTTAGAAGACCATTCTTTAGATCCTACCCTGAGTGTATATACTATAGTGCAGTTAGAAGACCATTCTTTAGATCCTACCCTGAGTGTATATACTATAGTGCAGTTAGAAGACCATTCTTTAGATCCTACCATGAGTGTATATACTATAGTGCAGTTAGAAGACCATTCTTTAGATCCTACCAATTCCAAATCAAGTAATTTATTAATAATACAATATTAAATACTAGTAATTCAATTTTCAAAATGACATGTATAGACATTACCATTCTTTTCAAGAAAACTATTTTATGTCAAATTGCACAAGGTGCGAAAGTAGTTCATGGTGTGGAAGTCTATGTAGTTATGGACAGAGGGAGATAATTACATGTAAAATAGTGCACAATATATCCAAATATGTTTAGTTTTAAGTTCACAATCCACAATAAAAGCAATCTTTACCCTCTCTGTGCTCACACACATTGATTTATTTGATTTTTTTGTTTCGCCTCATGGAATTAAAGAAAACAGGCATGCTGTTTCCAGTGTGGCAGCATCAACATTGACAACAATGTATAAGTTCATGATTAGATCAGTTCGAGGGGAACCACTAGTGGTAGGTCAATGATATTTAGTATGCAGTTGTATTAGGATGGGCTCATCTCATTTTCATAGAGAATTTTTTTGCCCCACCCCCTCGGTCATGGTCTATTGACTTTGCAACTTTTGCTTTGCCAGTTTACGATTTAGTCAGTTTAAGGGAACCACTAGTAGCATGTCAATGATATTTGGTATGCAGTTGTATAAGAATTGGCACATCTCATTTCAATGGAGATTATTTGCACCTTAGTCATGGTTCACTGAAGTTGAATGTTTTGCATAGTTTACATGTTAAAGTATTGCTATTTCAATTTCAACATTTACATTATACTATAATTACATAAATGAGAGACATATATCTGTGTCAACATTTATCTCAGCTAGTCTTAAGTATGAGCTGTCACTATTGTTTAACATCAGTTGTACATCTGATTACAAAAAAATTTCAAGACAAACTCTCTTCCCTGAAGAATTTGATGTACAAACAATATAGAACAACACATAGTCCAGATAGAATGACTTTGTACAGGCACAAAATGTGGGAATTAAACCTTTTTTTACTTGCACAAAAAACCCACTATCTAGACTAATTAGATATAGGAAGATGTGGTATGAGTGCCAATGAGACAACTCTCCATCCAAGTTACAATTTATAAAAGTAAACCATTATAGGTCAAGGTACGGCCTTAAACACGGAGCATTGGCTCACACCGAAGTCTTTATATTG